GAACCAGGATGTAGGGTTTTGATTAAGTTTTACCTGTACATTATTGCCAGTTCTGTAGTGTTTGTGTTTATTAATTGTGCTGTTGAGATTTAAGGGTACCTGTAAAATTATAACGCTAGGGATCTTAAAATTCGGGCTGTTTAGCATTTGTTTAAATAGTCCTACTCATTTGGGTTTTGATCCGTTCCCGAACAGTGGTTTACTGAACTCAATAACGAAGAAGAGGGTTACGAACGAAATGTTAGTAGGGAACTGGCATGACGCTTGCTCAATAAGACTTTTGGAGTATGGAAACAAGTTAGGTTACTGAAAAAGTATGGATCACCGAAGTGGTTGTGACAGGTCGAAAGCCTGATGAACAATGGACGCGGTTCTATCAAGTTTTTGCAGACTGAAGTTGTGTTCGTTGTATGTTGGTGATGCGTCGTTCGTGTGCCTGTTTGCATTTCCTTTCATGCTGGTCATTTCTTCCCGGTGATGTTATTCCTCATGTTTAAGGCATTATTTTCTTGTGCTCTAAGTAACGATGATGACATTTTTAGGGATCTACTCTGAGCAGCTGTACCCAGTGATGATTAATGTGGTGTTGCAATGCTTCTTTAGTTGTTAGGTGCGTTCAGTGAAATGTTTTGGAAGTTTTTGTTTGATTTAATGCAGTTATGTGATTGTTTATAAGTCTCTGGTTTTTGGAGTTTATAACAGCGTATTCTCGGCTCTCTGGTTGTGAGGTTAGATATATTCTAGGCCTTTTGTGATGTTTTTGTATTGGACTGAGGTGAGCGCTGGAGAGTTGGGTTGAAAAGGTATCGGTTTTGAAGGTCCGTTTATTTTGTTGGGTTGTCAAGTCGATTCATAAAGTTTTTTGTCTAAGATTACATTATATTGTTGGAGAAATAACAAAAAGAAGAAAATTAAAATTTGATGTTTTTATTACAACTTCAAGCAACGGTGTTACTGAAGTTAGTGATGTTTTCTTTCTTATCAGGTATGCATGCGTACGACTGTTTTCAACTTACAGACGCTTTTTCCTTTTTTCTTTGTAACATATTGTGCATGTTTGTAGCATATTTAATAAGAGGTTTCAGGCTGGTCTCAGTGAAGCTATCAAATTAGGCGATAACAGTCAATGTTACATTTCTTAATTTGAGTTGAAAATAGTAGGAACTTACGAGGGCCTCGTATATTCATGTGGTAATTTCTACTGTGAGCATTAGGTTAGAAAAAATTTGGCAACAGCAGTTTTCGCTGACAGCCCTGTTTTTCTTGATGCTCTCTAGCATTTTTTTCACGGTAAGTTTTGCGAAAGTTTTCGGATCAGAAAATTATCGGTTCAAACAAGCGTTTCGACAACGAGTTTTCCGCACAGCTGTCAAGTCAGCGGTTGTTCTGACAAAAATTCTTCCGAACCAAATCAGTTTTGCTTTTTGGACAATCATGCTGTTTCTTTCTAAAAAGTTTCTTTTTTTTTTTTTTTTTTTTT